GAGTTTTTTCCAAACAAGTCCTGTGAAAACCCCAAAATAATTCAGGCTGTTGCCAAGACTATAGGTTGCTCTCTGCAAACTGACAACAAGGGCCCATTGCTGAATGCAACACCAACACAACTCATTAACATAGAGAAGTAGAGCTGGTGTCAACATGGAGCTTTCACTCCTGCATGCTAGTCTTTGGAAGACACTCAGCATGGTACCAAAGGAGAAATGTAAACAACAGCCCAGCAATAAACCCATTGTTCTACAATGGTGTCCTGGCTGCAAGATATGTTAGCACAATAGTGGCACAAAGCTTATGGAAGTAACTAATTAATATTTGATTTGACTTAAGGCCCACTCCACAAGATGGACCCTATACTGGACACTGCTTGGGTAACCAAGAACCTGAGAATAGATAGCCCAGGAATCTGGTAAAATCAAATACTACTGTTTTACTAAAAGAACATATATATAAAATGACTCCTAGTGACACTCTGCTGTACTCTAAAATCATCCCCTTGCTCAGCCATCATCAGGGAAGCTTCCCTCTTCAGCAGATGGGAACAAGCAAAGAGACCCACAGACAGACATTATGCAGAGTATGAGACACTTTGGAACATTCAACCCTAAATGTAATGTCTCCATAACATTTCTCTCCTCAGGGATCAAGGAACCTTGCAGAAGAAGAGACAGAAAAAGTGTAAGAGTCAGAGGGCATAGAGGACACCACGGAAATAAGGCCCTTTAATCAACAGAATTTTCACACATATTGACTCACAGAGACTGAGGCACAGAGCCTACATGGGTGTACAAGATCGGGTTCTAGAACTGAAAGGAGAGTTGGAAACTTGACCCACCTCTAACCCAGAGGCTATCTACAATTGGTAACCCCTTTCAAACATCAATTTAGTTTTCTCCAGGGGATTTTCACTGGGGAAACAAAGTACTCAAGGGTAGGCTGCATGTCCAGCAGTAGATGGCTAGCAGAAAACAAATTCAATGGCATTTTTGCTTCTTGTCTCATAATGTTGTGTCAGGGCTTTAAAAATAAAAACATTCTTTCTATAATTTTTATTTGATTTACATATCCTCTCTCTCTTGCTCACACTCTCTTAACTCTCTATAGATCCTTTGCATATATATAGTGGCTTTCAGTTTAGTATTTTTATAGGATTCCTGACTATGCAAACAAGTGTTTCTTTGCATACCTGCCTGTTTCTTGGGATCTTTTCCTTTCCTTTGTCCTATTCTGATGTGCTTGTTTTTGTTATATTATTTTATATTACTCTTTTATATTGTATTAATTAGAAGCCTGTTGGTTTTCTAATGAGATAGAAAATGGGCAGATCCAGTTGGGTGGAGAAGAAGGAAGGATCTGGGAGATATAGAGAGATAGGAAACCATAAACAAGATATATTATATGAAAACAAAAATCTAGTGAAAAAAAGCAAGTGATTTTTACTCATATTTTTTCTTTCTTTTTGAAATTATAATAATTGTATTATCCCTTCCATCCCCTTTGTCCCTTCAAGTTTTTCTATATAGCCTTTCATACTCTCTTTCACATTTATGACCTCTGTTTTACATTAACTGGAAACTAAGTCATGCTGAAAACAGAAGTAGTCTTCCTCAGGGAAGAATACACCAATGGCTATCCAGTACCAAATAGCCGTGAAAGCGTACAAGCAACTAACAATATACAGACTTAAATAGGTTGTTCTGATGGAGCATTTTTATAAAGGCAGTTCTATAGCCTTATTTTAAATGGTGTTCCCACAACATTCTTTTTAGACCATAATAACAGGGTCCTTGTATGGCTACACTGTAAATTTCTGACCAGAAATAGGAACATGTCTTTAAGTCTTTCTTTTCCTTTACTATCCATTGTCTATCAACTTCAGTCCACCAGTTTTAATATCCAGTGTGAAGAACTATACAGAATATTTGGTAAAGTTTATCAAATCTCAGAACTTACCATCAAGAGATCTGAAATCCAGAAACTGACATATGTAAATGATCCTAGGGCATTTTATTGCAGGGGTCTTTGTCCATTGTCTGGGAGCATCATTCTGTCCTTTGCTGTTTCAATATGGTAGGTGAGCAATGATTGTATCTCTGGATGCATTTTTAGCTTCATTGTCTTCCACTTTAGCTTTAAAAACAAAAACAAGCTAAATGTAGAATGCCAGGGAATCATGGCACTGTTTTATTGTGATTATATTTGAGTCTGTGCCTTTGTCTCTCTACATTTTTACCTCTTATTGTAATTCAGTGATGGAGAAAACTATTTGTTCCCATTGGGCAGGTTTTTAGCTTTGATAAATGAGTCTCTCTGATGAGTTGATTTTCAAGGATACTTTGAATATAAAATTAATCATTGCTTTCAATATATGAGGTCAAATTTGATTTTGAAAAAACATTTTTGTGGAGATATTGAGAGACTGTTAGAAGCTAGGTGATGGGTAGATACTGTAATTTCACACAGAAATGAAAGTTTACTTGTAAGTGCATTTCAATACTCTTGAGGATTTTAGATATCTTAAAAAAAAAAACCCTGGAGACTGGCTTTCTTAGTAAAGTGAACACTAATTTGGTAACAAGCAATTATTCCCTACTTTAGTTGATGTATGAATTTGGCTGTGTGTATTATGCTCTATTAAACAAAGTGCAGGCAAGTAAGTAATCATAGTTGTTTGGGGGGAAAAGCAAAGCAAGCCTGACTTGTCTAGAGCCCAGGAATTGGTGTACGTCTTACTGGAGTGGAGAGGAAGGCAGAGGAGTCACTATGTGTTAAATGTCAAATATCTGCTGTCTTGACTGATCCTATCAGTCAGGTGTTATTATTATCCTTACTTTACAATGTAAAAAACTGGAGCTTAATGAATTTGTCTAAAGCCATGGAGATGGCAAGGAGCCTAGCTTAGATTTGATACCAGACATAATTTAGAACCTAGTCAGTGTTGATTCCCACATTATGGGCATGATTTGGAACCAGAAGACTGAAAGTTATCATCTTGTTATATATGAGGCTCAATTATTCTCTAGTTTTAATAACATGTAAGTCTTTCCCAACAGTATCCTTGAGCAAATCTTGCTAGCTCTGAAAATTTACCACTTTTGTTCATGAGCCTACATGGAGAACTGGGTTACCTGCAAATGACATGACCCGTAACTTAGAGGAGTTAGAGCCCATCTATTTCTCTGCTTTGACATAGCTCTTCCACAGCTATCAATAGCATGGCTCCACACTACATATGGCCTGTACTTAGCTTTAATGACTTGAATGGTATAATCTGCATACCATAAGCATCATATATTTAAATTGTGTGATGGGATAAGTTTTGACATACATTAGTTAACCATCATCAAAATTAAGATAAATACCTCCAGCCATCTGTGTCAACTGTGGAGCCGTTACTTGCTAGAATAAATTTTTTATTTTATAAAGTTCTTATAAGGGCATCACATTGCTTTTATTCCTTTATATCTGGCTTCTTTAATTAGGACAATGATTTAGATCCATCCATGCTGTATCAGCCATTCACTTATAACAACAGTTTCTTTCCCCTTTGCTGCTGAAGAACACTCCAAACATGGATATGCCACAATTCACTTGTTCATTTACCTGTTGATGGATGTTTTTAATTTTCTGACTATTACATTTAAAGCTACTATAAACTTTATAAACAAGCCTTTGTAGGGCTGTGTTATTTCATTTCATACCCACTGTATGAGTGTGAGTGTGGTAGTTAAATATCAGGGTCAGGCAATTGTCATATTAAACTTTTTCTTAAATTTTTAATATGTTATGCAGCCGCTGGCTCCTGGCCCTCCAGGCAGTGTCAAGAGTGGGCTCCCTGTCAGAGTATGGTTCTCAAGCTGGACCAGTCATTGTGGCCACTCCCACAATTTCTGTGCCACCTTTACCCTAGCACGTCTTGTAGGTAGGACAAATTGTGTTTGTGTCTCAGTCCCTCCACAGAAAGCCTTGCCTGGTTACAGGAGATGGCTAATTCAGGCTCAGTATTCCCCATTGCTAGGAATCTTAGCTAGGGTAACTCCCATCGATTCTTGGGAGTTTCCATTGATCTAGGTTTCTAGCTCATCCCGGAGATGCCAGAACCCATTCTGGTTGTCTTTCCCAGTACTCTTTCTCCATCCTCCCTGTGCCTGATCCTTCCTGTTCCCATCCCCACCCCATCCCCACATTCAGTCCCTTCTCCCATGCATTCTCTATGTTTATTCTGTTTCTCTTTCTCAGTGAGATTCGTGTGACCCCCATCCCTTCAAACTCTCCTTGTTGTTTAGCTCCTTTGGGCCTGTGGATTGTAATGGGATTTTCATTTACTTTACAGTGGATATCCGCTTGTTAGTGCATACCATGTTTGTCTTTTGGGGTCTACATTATCTCACTTAGGATAATCTTTTCTACTTCCATCCATTTGTCATTTGTCAATGATGTCATTGTTTTTAAGAGCTGAGTAATACTCCACTATGTAAAATGTACTACATTTTCTTTGTCTATTCTTTGATTGAGGGACATCTAGGATGTTTCCAGGTTCTGGCTATTATGAATAAAGCTTCTACAAACATAGTTGAGCAAGTGTGCTTGCGGTATGGTGGAGTGTCTTTTGTATATATGCCTAGGTGTGGTAGGGCTAAGTCTTTTTTAAAAAAATTATTTATTTTTAATTTATTTATTTTTTATTAATTATAGTTTATTCACTTTGTATCCCAACTGTAGCCCCCTCCCTGGTCCCCTCTCAAACCCACCCTTCTCTCACTTCTCTCCATGTTCCTCTCCACGTCCACTGATAGGGGAGGTCCTCCTCCCCTTCCTTCTGACCTTTCTCTGAATAGCGTATCAGGTCTCATCAGGACTGGCTGCATTGTCTTCCTCTGTGGCTGGTAAGGTTGCTCCCCCCTCAGTGGGAGGTTATCAAAGAGCCAGTCACTGAGTTTATGTCAGAAACAAGCCCTGATCCCATTACTAGGGAACCCACTTGGTGAAAAAATATATGGGATGCTTCATAAATATGCATGTCATCCTTGCTCAGGGGCCATGTTAATCTTCTCTGTATACTTCCAATTTTAGTATATGTGCTGCTGAAGTGAGCATGAGCTGAGTCTTGATGTAGATCAATAATCAAATTTCTGAAAAATCTCCATACTGATTTCAAAATTGGCTGTGCAAATTTGCACTCCCATCAGCAATGGAGGAGTGTTTCCCTTTCTCCACACCCTTGCCAGCATTAGCTGTCACTTGCCGTCTTTGATCTTAGCCATTCTGACAAGTACCTCAAAGACCCACCATGCAACCAAACATGAATGGCGAAAAAGTCAGTGAAATGATTTCTAATGATATGCTGCTGTTATACTCATAGATTGGCATCCAGCTCAACTATCACGAGAGAGGCTTCACCCAGCAACTGATGGAAACAGATGCAAAAACCACAGCTAAACAGTACACGGACTTGCAGAAGAAGGGAGGAGGGATTGTAGAAGCCAGAGGGGTTAAGAGTATCACACACACACATACACACACACACACATACACACACACACCCCAAAGAACCAACCAACCTGAACCTATAGGGGCTCACAGAGACAGAACCACCAACCAGAGAGCATGCATGGAACTGACCTATGACCTCTACAATATGTTACAGTTTGTAGCTTGGTTTTCTTGTGGAACTCCTAATAGTGGGAGCAAGAACCCTACCGGGTTGTCTTGTCTAGCCTCAGTAGGAGAGGTGGTGCCTAGTCTTGCTGCAATTTTGTATGCCAAGTCTGGTTTTTGCCATCTATCAAGGCTGGCCCTTTCCTGAAGATAAACAGAGGAGGAGTGGATGGTCAGGATGGAGAGGATGTGGGGGGCCACTGGGAGGAGAGGACAGGGAGGAAACTGCAGTCAGGATGTAAAAAAAAAAAATAAATAGTTATTACTAGTGTTACTATTAGGAGCAGGGACTTCTGATCAAGATGACCTCAAGAGAATCATAGATCACTTTTTAAACAGAAGAAGTGCACTTTCCTGGGCTATGTGTGTGGCTGCATTCACAGTGTATTATATAAACTCTAGGGAATGTTTTTCCTGTTGTAGACATATACTTCATATTTATTTGGAAAATTTCTAGTGGATATTGAGGAAGAGGAATTGTTTCTTGTCTCACTCAAAGAGATCACATTCTGTGAATATGACATAGGTTCTGGTGCTTCAGGACCTCTTAAAATTATACTTCTTTCATGGTCCTCCCCAATTCTTACCATGCCTAGGTAGCTATAACTGTGGATAACTGCAGCCCAGGAGAAAGGCACATGGTCTACATAGATATTTGTTGGTACTGGTTTTGGCAGATTTTAGTGGTATTATATAACATTTCTTCCAGAGTCATCTATTCCTCTTTTTCATCAAAAACCAAAAGACTAGAACTTGAGTGAAGGACTGAAATGGAATCCTTTTGAGAAAAGCCACGTATGAATTGCCTTTCTTGTTGCTATGACAAAAATGGACAAAAGATGGCTTAAGAAAGGCTTATTCTGGTTTACCATTCAAGGGGACACATTACATGGAAGTAGGGAAGGAGCTGCAGCAGGGGCAAGAGTGGGAGGGAGGCCAGCTGGTCACAATGCATTTGCAGTCAGAAAACAAAAGGTGAACAGGTAGTAGTATTCTTTGAGGCCCACAATCAGTGGCATACTTGCAGCGAGGCTCCACCTTCGTAAGTATGACTGCACAGTCGTCCCCAACTGTACCCTCAGCAGGGGACCAAGTGTCCAAACACATGAGCTCATGGGGGACATTGTACATTTAAAACACAACTTATCTGGTATATTTTAACTTCATCATTTACAAAATGAGGAAATTAGATATGTTGACTATCAAAATAATTTCTAATTGTAAGACTTCAGATCACGTAAGGTTACCTGGTTAACAAAATAAGATTATTTAAAAATTTCTTTTAAATTGTTCCAAAGGTGAAAATAAGGGACTTAAATAAAATTTCAAACAATCTTGATTTATAGTAGCACCATTGAAAACCTGAAAATACTGTTCTAGGTAATCATATCTTTGTGAGGTTTAAGCAGTCTATCTTCTTTGCACTCACTCCCTTACACTCATAAAGAAAGCACTTGACTCAGAGACTTAGTCAGAAGTCCTAAAGGAGGTCCTAGTTTTGCCACTCATGGCCCATGACCTTGAGTTAGCGTGTCACCACTTTTTTTCCTCACATTTTTTCTTCTTTATATGCAATGGAAATGATAACATCAACTTTCAAGATCATTAGGTAGACTAATCAAAATTATAATTTTAAAAGCTCTCAGTAGACTCCAACATATCTCTCTAGCTATCATCTATCTATGTGCCTTTCTATCTTCTAACCATTTAAATATACTCATATTCTCCATGTTCAAGGAGTCATTACTATGATACTTAGGGGTTTCTCATTACAGTAAAATGGCAACAAATACAATAGAAAAACAGGGTATTGTCTGAGAAGTCCTTTGCCCCTGAAGCACTTCTCTATATCATTTCATCTTCCCAAAGTAATTGGAAAATTTATTCAGATTTTAGATCAGGAAGAAAACACATAGTTAAGGATAGATTGAAAGTATTTTATTATCTTTGAAGATGTCCCTCAATACTTATAGGAGGTATTTGAATTGATTTTTCTCTACTATTAAATCATTCTAGAAAAAGAAAGATTGCATTCTGATAATTTAATTGTGTGTTTTTAATTTTCTTCTTCTATTCTTCAAAGATTCTCAATGCTATTCTACATTTATATTTCCATTTGTGAAGCACACACATGAAAAAGCAGGCAGACTATGAATCACTTCAGGAGAAGATAGTCTCTCTGTTCTGCTTGACCTTGGCAAAGTTGGTGAGGCATATTCTAAATACTAGAGTGTTTGATCTTTTTATTAATATTTCCTATGTCTATATAGAAGCCTTATCCCAGAACCTCAAAGGCGATTCACTGTCATTATTAGTTAATAGACTCAGTGTCCTTGAGAGGCAGGCATAGGGCAGGTGGTGTTATCTGTCTAACTCATGCGAAAGAACTAGAAGTCAGTGTGATGCCTCTCAGCCGTTCTGAGTAGGTCTGGGTGATTCAATCTCAAGTCTCACTGTTTGCACAGATTCAGTACTTTCAACAGCACTGATTGTTTTTTAAGTTGAAAAAATTTGGGCTCGTGAATAGCAAGAGCAGGAGTGTAATGCTAAAATTCAAATCAATTGTTTTTTCTTGCCTGGAATGAACTCTTCCTAATACTTGAGAAAGGATTTTCAAATTTAAACCACTATATATGCATGTATCCCATCATGCATCTGTCTACCCACCCACCCATCCATTCATCCATCCACTCACGCATTTATCCATTTGTCTATCCTCTATAAATCCACACATCCATCCTTCCATGTACACATCCAGATGTCCACTTTCAACAATAATTATAGGTATTTTTCTACATCTTAAAGCTACAAAGTTGATATTTAATCTTTGATCTCTAGGATATTACCTTCTACTAGAAATTAACATGTTATTTAATAAGTTATTAAAAATAAGATAGATTATTTTAAGATGCACATATGATGTTATAGGTTCAGGAATAGCTGCACACTGGCCACTCGAGTACCAGGCTAAGATTGACTAAAGTTTATTGAATGCTGAGGAGGTATAGGAAGTGGGGGGGGGCAGCATTGCATCATTTTGACCAGCTAAATATAATTGATTTTGTTCCAAGTGTATTGTGTTTTATCTAGGTAGCTAGACAAAACACTTTAAGCTAATTGGCTGGGATTGAGGAGCACTTAGGGGCTCTCCAGGTTTCTAGGAGTAAGAAACATAACGGGATGTTTCAGTCTTTAACTCAAGCAGAACATGCATTTATCATGTATTGTTTTATTCTAAGCAGCAAGTATTGAACTATTGAATTTTATCCTGGTCTCAGGCATGTAGGCCTGAGAACTTGAACTTAATTTCACCTTATGATCAAGATGGAGACTTGGAGTCAAAATGGCTTCTGATAGGCTAAAGGCTACAGCAGGTGTTAACAGAGGAGCCATAGTGATAGAATTGTGCAGAAGAGTTACACGGCAGGTTCATCAGGTTCGTAAATCACGCCATGCAACTGGTTCCATGTGGGAGGTTTATTGAGGGAAGGGGAAGGGGAAGGGAAAGGGAAGGCAGAAGGGAGAAAGGAAGGGATGGGGGAAGGGGTCACAGAGACCCTCTCTGGGCAAGGCAGGAGAGAAAAGAGAGGAGATTTGAGTTCTGTTATAAGGTGACCCAGAGTATGCACAGGTGGTTCCAGGTGGTCCATAGGTGGCTTCACAGATGCCTGATATCTGGTTTGTCAGGTCCTTTGGGGCTGGCTGTAGAGATGCCTGCTTACAGATCCCAAGACATAGTTATGCTAAGAACTAAAATAGAACTCAACAGAGGAGCTGTAGAGTTTAAGCAGGTTACAACAATAAGAAAGTAACACAGGCCTAGTCAGTTCTATCTGGTGAAAACTTCATATAGGAAATATGTTGTCTTTGAAATACAGAAATCCAAAAATTTTAAAAATCCATGCAGATGCTCTAAATTAATCTATCATGCTTTAATTTTTAAGAAATGTATCATTATGTGTGTGTACATGTAGTAGTTGGAATAAAAATGGCACACAAACATCCCCCATAGGCCCATAGGGAGGTGTGGTCTTGTCAGAGAAAATTTGTTTAGTTCACTTCCTGCTGCCTGAGAATCTGGGTGTAGAATTCTCAGCTACCTCTCCAGCACCATATCTGCCTGTATGCTGCATATTTCCTGCCATGATGATAACGGATTAAACCTCTGGAACTATAAGCCAACCCCAATGAAATGTTTTCCTGAATAAGTGTTGCCTTGTTCATGGTGTCTCTGCATACAAAACCCTTACTAAGACAGTTTACAATATATGTGTGTGACAGGGCATGCGTGTGGAGGTTAGAAGACAATGTTGTAGAATCAGCTCTCTCCTTTTGTCTTTATGTGGGGTTGGGAATTGAATTCAGGATGTAGGGCTTGCACAGCAAGCACAGCAAACACGGAGCCATCTTGTCATCCACACCATGCTTTCGAGCTGTGC